GGGGCAGATAATCAATTCTGGCTCTTTGGTGGGTGGCGGTGGTGTTTAGGGACAGGGAGAAGATTCAAGAGGTTTTTCTTACACAGTGACTTTGAGACAGCTGAAAGGAAAAGTTGTGTAGGTGGTTGACTCTACTGATTTGTGGTTCTAAGGAGTTTGTGTTAGAGAGATGCATTTGGGTCATTGGAAGATTTACATGGTGACAGTGGCCAGGACAGTGGTTCTCTAAAAGTTTCCCTCCTACTAGCTACAGCTTGACAGAAATGCTGATTCCCAGGCCCTGCCTTAGATCCGTTGAGCCAGCAACTTTCTGTGGGCACAGTAATCTGGGGCTGAGGAACTACTGAGGTGATGCTGATAGACCGACACTGTGGAGTCTGAATGGCTCTGATCCAGGAAGAGAGATACAGTGGGAAGAATTTGGGCCTGGAATCGTACCTTGCGGAGGTCTCATTTTTTGAGTTTAGAAGGTAAAAGATAACTTTGCAGAGGAGAGCAGGAAGTAATTTTAGAGAGGGAGAAAGCATATCAGGGGCCCAGAGGAGAGAGAGTGCAGGCAGGGAGTCACATCGCTGATGTGGTAGGGAAGATGTCTGTCCAGGCTCTTGGACAGGTGGATCCAGAGACGAGACAGATTATTGGCTGACAAGCCTAGAGAGCAGGACAGCAGAGGACTACAAATGAACAGAGTTTCTTTTTTGGGGGAAAAAGTGTTTTGGACTTAAAGGTGATGGGGTTGCACAACTTCAAGTAAACTGAAGCCATGGTACACCTTAGAGAGGGCATGAGTGATTCTTCTTAGATGGTTTGTGGAGATGGTGACAAGAGGAGGGGTGACAAGAAGTGGAGAGAATGATAGGAGGGGTGGCAGGAGGGGGGACAAAAGGAGGAGGGACAAAAGGCAGAGAGGGTGACAAGAGGCAGAGGGTGACAGGATGGGTGACAAGAGGCAGAGAGGGTGACAAGAGGAGGGGTGACAAGAGGAGGGGTGACGAGGCAGAGAGGGTGAAAAGAGGCAGAGGGTGACAGGATGGGTGACAAGAGGCAGAGAGGGTGACAAGAGGAGGGGTGACAGGAGGCAGAGAGGGTGACAAGAGGAGGGGTGATGAGAAGATGGGTGACAAGAGGATGGATGATGAGAGGAGGGGTGACAGGAGGGGTGACGAGGCGGAGAGGGTAACAAGAGGTGGAGAGGGTGACAAGAGGCAGAGAGGGTGACAAGAGGAGGGGTGACAAGAGGATGGGTGACGAGAGGAGGGGTGATGAGAGGAGGGGTGACGAGAGGAGGGGTGACAAGAGGATGGGTGACAGGAGGGGTGACGCGAGGAGGGGTGACAAGGCGGAAAGGGCAACAGCTGGAGGAAAGTGTGGAAGCGAAGAAGCTTAGAGGAAGTCATTTTTTCAGAAGCCGATAGACCTGCAAACATTTACATTCTGTGGGCAGGGCTCTGGGAGAGAGATGGAAAGAGAGAATTGATCATGCTGATAGTGCTAGTGCCTTCAGAATAGGAAAGGACTTTTGATTAGTAGAGCCTGGTGTTTTCCTAACTGTCCAATCAATTTCATTTTATAATGAAGATGAAAACAATTCCTCATTCGGGATCTCCCAACTCTAGTCTGCATGCTGTGTGGGGGACAGGTACCTTGATGCCGCAGGGCCAGCTAATTCTGTTTTCAAAGTGGGGCTGAGGAAAAGCAACAGAAGGATTGATTTAGACAGGGACAATTAATGTTGGTTTTGTAGAGCTAAAAACTCCTACTTTCTTAAATGGAGCTTTAAGTGTTACTGAAATGACATTTCTTACTCTCACTTCCAGAAGGTTCTAGTTCTGCCCCCTTTCCAGCCTCGTGGCAGTTATCTGATCTTCATTATGGTAATTGTTTGATTTTCCTATAATCTGCTTAGTATTCGGTTTCTTCTGTCTACTTACCGCTCATTTATCTGATTTCCAGTTTTCAAAATTCTGCAGTATCCCCCCTCGGTGCCCCCCTCATTGCCTCCCTCCCTGCTTCCTTCCCTCTCCCTTTCTCCTTCCTTTCTTTTATCTCTCTCAACCCTCTTTTATTCTTCCCTCTCTTATTCTCCATATCCACTGGGTTTTTTTTTTTGTTGTTGTTGTTGTTTTGTTTTTTTAGAACCGGGGATTGAACTCAGGCCCTTGTGCTTGCCAGGCGAGCGCTTATTCCACTGAGCCATCTCCCCGGCCCCTTCTCCCTATCCACCGGGGAGGAGGACTTTAAAAACAATTCACGGCTCTGACCATCGCCTTTCCTTTCCTTTTTGCTCCCGGAGCCTGCCTGGGGCACTGTGCTTACTCTGCTGTGTCTGAGAGCTGCATGCTAGGAGCCAGCCGCTGCCATCTCGCCCTCTGTAGGGGCAGATTTTGGAGCGTGAGGGTTCAGTGTGGACTGTGCCTAGAAGAATTGTCACCTCCTTTCCTGGTCCAGAGGCTATAGCTTGAGTTTTACTGCATCCCTTACTGTCATTCATCTTGGGAGCTTCGCTTTTGGCTGCCCACCGGCCTGCTCTTATTCTAGTTCTGATGGCCGTGACCTTCCTGGCCAGGCTTGCAAGGCTGAAGATTTGACTGCCAGGCACCAGCACGCCTTTCAGTCCCGGGCGCAGCTGTGGCTGTGACAGGCCAGGGGCTGTTGCATGGCCTCACTGTGCTGCGCCTTCTAGGGCGCCCCCTCCTGTTTGTAAGAGTATTCGGCTGAGCCAAGGGGCAAGGAGATAACACCAGTGGGAATGAGGAGCGCCTCCCGTTTCATAAGTCTTTATTTTGCTCTTTAAGTTTTATTTTATTTTTAAAATTAAAGCAGAGAAGGGCCAGTGAGATAGCTCAGTGGACTAAATGCCGGCTTAGGCAAGCGCAGGGACCAGGGTTGATCCTGGGCACCATAGGCCACACTGGCCCTGCCTCTGGGGATGGGGGTGCACCCTGTAATCCCACTGCTGGGGAGGCTGAAATAGGAGGATCACTACAAGTCTGAGCTGTGTAGTGAGACCCTGTACCAAATACATAAATAAAAATTTAAAAAATAAAATTGAGGCAGAGTTTTTAACCAGACCTGTGAAGAGAATTAGAGTTAGCAAATTTAAGTGCAAGATTGTATCTTTATTTTCACTAACTTCATAGTTTGCAAGATTGCATTCAATTATATGTGCTGAGCGTTAAATATAGTAGAATTAGCGCTGTAAGTGCAGCTCTGCCAGAAAGCACAGACATTTTATGTCATAGTACTGCTGCGATATCTTAAAATGATATTCTCATTCCCTCTGAGAAGGCATAGTAGTTATCAGACCTGTCACTAAATCTGTTAACTAAATCTATTTACTGAGCTATTAACTAAAAATACGTTTTGCTGTTCTAAGTTCTGCATTGTGTGCTAATAATGTTACATTCAGCTGCGTTTTCCTGTGGAGCTTCAGGCTGGCTGTGCAGCGCTTTGCTCCCTGCCCCTTGGGCTGCCAGCGTGCTGCCCCGCAGTGAGGCTGAGCTGCTCTCTAGTTTGTGGCTTAGTGGCCGCGGGGGCACCCTGGGTGGCTGGTGACGGACTCATCGTCTTCTCTTAGCCGTGTGCGGAAGCCCTCCAGGCTGCTTCTCCCTGCAGAGCCTGTGGCAGTCTCCCCGGTGCGGCCCCAGTGCTGACGTGTGGGGCTCTGGGTGTTGTCAGGGTGGGTGCCTGCTGTGCAGCCCCTTGGGTCAGCAGGGGCGGCTGGGCATGTGGCCGGGGAGACTGGAGGTCCAGTTTCCTGCCTTGAACGCTTGGAACGCTGCTAGCCTTGAAGCTCCAGGGCCGGCTCTTGCTTGCTGACCTGAGCTTGATGCTCAGTTTTATGTCGCCTGGGGAAGATCTGCTAAGTTGCTCCAAAAACTCGAGTGAAGTAGGCACCCCTCAGATTGCCACGCACGGGTTCCCACTCCCCGTGGTAGAGCAGCTCCAGTTGCATTAGGAGCCTTCCCTGGGCCCAGTGAGGCTGAGGAGATTGCTGGGGACTATGACTGCATTTTCCCGGCGTTTTGTTTCATTTTGGTAGGGGCGGGATGGTATCTCATCTGTGAAAACATTGCCAGGTTTTGCTGAGCTCCCTACACTGTCCCCTTACCTGTCGGTGCTTACTTTTCCCGCGTTTCCGGTGGGGGGTCATTCACCTGCGGGGATGCCTCTTGGGATGATGAATGTTTGACTTGCTAAAGCAGTCCAGTCCACTGTTAGCGCGAGTGGTTAGAGTATCTAAGGCTTTCTTACTGCCAGGCACATGCTTTAGGTGATCTGACTGCATTTCGGTGAGTGGTAGCCTCCGTCATTGACTGCATTTCATGGATGAGGAAAGCAAGACTCAGAGGTAGGGTAGCCTGCTCAGGCTGGCGCTCAGGGTGCAGCAGAGGGAGCCCGACCCTCCAGAACTTGCTTGGTGTTGAACCTGCTTGCTTGTTTGTTTACTTGTTCTTACTAATTCTGCCTGGTTGTGCTAGGCAGTTTCAGGAGTGCTTCAGTGGCGCTGCGGGCATGGTCTCCAGGTGCTGGTGCGCCGTGTGCTCCCCCAGGACAGCCTGCACCCGAGCAGCCAAGGCTCTCGGCCTGGCATTGCAGTATGTGGAGTTTCTGAGCGCAGGTTTAACGTTACGTCTATTTATGTTTACAGGGATGCTTCGTTCGGAAATTGCACTTACAATCTCACTGTCCTCGACTGCTTACAAGGAATCAGAAAGGTAATGACAGTCTTTCTTGCTGTGGGTTGGTAGTGGTTTAAAATATCACAAAGGAATAATCTGAACACCCTTCTCTGTCCTTGGCGAGAGGAGTAGAGCTGTAAGCTGAAGACTCTTCGCTTTCTGAATGATGATCAGTTTGAGCAATAGAGTTGGTGCCTTGTGTCTGAGGGCTCCTCATTGGTGACCTAACCAACCTCAGAGTGAAAGCACTACCAAAATCCCTCTCCCTGCTTCAAGACTGAGTCTACATAATACAGTATATCAACTTACTGTGTGGCATTTCATCGTCTGAAGTATTGTAAATAATCTAGAGATGGTGCAAAATGTACAAGAGGGTTCAGGTAGGTTATGTGAAAATACCACACTGTTTGCTGTAGAAGGCTTGAACGTCTGGTCGGTCCTCTTGGATTCCAGGCAAGGGAGACTGTACAGCAAGTAGAGTGGACGGGGAGACGTGACGAGGTCTCCCGCTCTCATTTAAACTCCCATGCTGTGGGCAAGTCTGTCGCTGCCCTGTACTGCTGTGCCTGTCACATTGCTCGTTCACTCCTGTAGTGTGTTCTCATCCCGGGGGAGGATGGAAGCCCTGTGCTGCTGCTGCTGGCCCTGCCCTGGCTGCCTAGTCGTGAACGCCAGGGTGGGCCCAAGGCCCGGTGGGGGGCACTCCCTCTCAAGGACTTGGCTCAGTATGAAGTTAGTTAGTTGTGGGAATTGAGAAGTTAAACTCTCCAAGTCTTTTGGAGCAGCTGGGAAGTCCTGCAGGCTACGCAGTGAATTCTAATGCGGGGCCAAAGGGCACGATGCCTTCTGAATCTATGGTGTTTTCATCAGTCAGATATGTGTGTTTACATAGCCAACTGGACGACACGGCGTCAGGAGAGATTCTAGCTTGCTTAAAGCAGGTTGCACTGTTTTTCTAGTTGAGAAAGCCAGTATGATAAATACGCTGCCTGGTTTATCTAAGTTTGTTTTGATTTTGATGTTTCACTTTATTTCACTGTGCAGTGGTAGGCATTGAGTGCAGGGCCTTGCCCAGCATGAGGCAGACACTGCCCGTGAGCTAGATCCTCAGCCCCGATACGTCATTTTACCAATGGTTTAAACCCTCTAATGCTTTAAGATAGTTCCCAAATATTTTTCTTTTAAAAGTAAGCTGTGGAGATCCACTACCCCAAACGGTATTGCCAAAATGCCCTTGCAGTGATACGAGTTAAGTGGTTTTATGGAGACATTATTCAACACATACCCTTAATTATAGCACTGAGAAAGAAATGCCTGAGGGAAGAATGTGGTCCGCTTCTTTGTCACTATTATTTTGCCTTTCCTTCTATCTGGTGCAGGCTGTTTCTTTTGTAGCACTTAGGAACTTCAGGAAGAGCTCCCACCAGAGTGTCCCTGCCCATGGTTATGGTAACTGGTGTCTCAAAATAGAAATTTATGGCATCCTTCCTGTTGTACGGGAAAGGCGGACTGTTCACAAATACAGGCTTCTCTAAACTTCCTGCTTCATCAGATGTTGGGTTTGCCCAAATTTAAATGATATTTTAAAGGATCTAGTAGATTGTTCAGCATGCCTTTACACAGCTGAGATACACTGGCCAAATGTACCCCTTAGGGAGGACACCACCACCTGGGCTATTTTTGTGACAGTGAGTACCCTTCTGAGAGTGTATACACAGCGTAGCGTTATTTTTGCCTTTTTAAGGAAGGTATTTTCCTGTATTATTATTGTTGTAACCAGAACTCATGTGTTATGTGAACACACAGAGACATTTATACACAGGTTAAAAATAAAGAGGGAAGAAGATAAGTATCATTTAGAGTAAATTTTTTCCACTGGTTTCATTGGAATAGTGCTTATGGCTAAACTGAATGGACTCTTAGAAAGGCAGAATAATGAAAGGCACTTGCTCACCTTCTCTAGGAGTCGTCTAAACCACTGTTGTCAGAGGTTAGCATGCAGAAGACCCATCGGGAGAGCGTGTTAGGGAACAGGTCCTCTGGAAGTAGGGGGAGGAAAGGAAGGGAGCGGGAGAAGAGAGGGAAGGGAGAAATGCAAACACAGCTTTTGTAAGTAAGGGGAAGAAGGATTGAACGGAGGGAGGGGACAGGAGAAAAGAGTGAAGGTAGCATACTACATGTAGGGCCAGATCCCTGTGACAGCTGTGGGCATCAGGAATACCAAAACTACCAATAAACTTAATTTAAGGAGGAAAGCAAGCTGATGCTGAGCCTCATGGGCAGAGAATCAGGTTTCTTTGTTCTGAGGAGGGGCTTAGAAATCTGCCTCTGTTACCCTAAGTGTTTCTGATGCACGTGATCCATCTTTTACCTGGTCAAAGGATCCCTAGTCTCAAAAGTGCTTTTAAAGCTGGGTCTGCTGGAGCTTGGCTTCCTGCTTTCTTTTTCTATTTTTAATGACTTGATCATGTTAACTTTTAAAGGTGCCTGTGGTTTTTATGTTCCGTTGTCATCTGTGTAGCTTCACAGCTTAGCAAGTAAAAGATTCTTTGTCTTCCTAAAAATATTAGGTCTGAACAAGCCCCATAATTTTTAAAAGTTCTAAGTCATTAGTTACAAAAATGAGTGAAGTTTTGTGTTGTTAAAAATATCAGTTCTTCTGAATTATAAGAGCGGATGAATATAGTTAGCACCTGAAACACACTTTAAGCTCTATGAACAAATTAAAATTAGGGCTTATTTAGTAAAAATGCTCCTTTTTGCTAAATATTATGAAAAAGGCAAACAAGATTTTCTGTTACTAACAGATCTTTCTTCTGAGAACTTACTCACAGTGATGTGTCTGGTGATAGGCATAGTTCCCAGTAGGTTTTAGCTCCTACGTTTCCCAGTTTGTTTCAGCCTGTTATGTTTATGTACAGAACTAACTGAGATGAATACTCAAGCGCGTCTTTTGTGGGACATATTTTCATAGTATTCAAATTGTTCAGCTCTGTTGCCAGTGCAGTATGGAAGCAAACTGTTCAGAGTTATAAAATGATTTCTGGAGTTGTGTTCAAAATCAAATGTTTTAAGCTCTTGTGTCTAGTCATTGAGCACCATTTTGTAAGAAGCAATTTGAAAACTAAAGAATAAGTTTTACTAATTTAGTGTGAAAAATCTCATGGAAATTCTGCTTTTAGGGATTACAACATGGATTTTTTGACTTTGAGACATTTGATGTGGATGAATATGAACATTATGAGGTTGGTACATTTAATGTATTTGGAAAGTATAATTTCATGTTAATAATAAGTAATTTGTTTTCATCAAATATTCTGGAGTTACAAATTGAATGGTTATTAAATAAAATAATTTGTGATTTTTTTTTTTTTTTTAGTTGTTACTTTCGTCCTTGTAACTTTATTATTGCCTTTGAACCAGAAGTCATCAAAATTTTAATTTGGAAAAATGCCATATCTATATCTGTTCACTTAGCAAAGGTTTATTGGCACTTTGCACCTTTCTTTTATAAGAAAAATAATCTCAAAGTATAGTTTGGTAGTGAAATTGTCAGTTACTTTTATTTCTTATTTTAAATTAAAAAGGTGGGGCTGGAGAGATGGCTCAGTGGTCTAAAGCACCTACTTGGAACAAGCTTAGCAAAGCACAGGGACCACGGTTCAATCCCCCAGCACGACATGCCAGCCTGCCCCGCCCCCTGGTGGGCTGAGCTGGCCACACACACACACACATACACACACACAAATGAATAAATTAAAGAAAAAAAAGAAAAAAAAATTAAATTAAAACTATTTAAACAAAAATAGCTGGGTGTGGTGGCACACACCTGTAATCCCAGCACTCAGAGGCTGAGACAGGAAGAGGCTGTGAATGAGTGTTAGGCCATCCTGGGTTATATAGGAAGTTCAAGGCTAGCCTGAGCTACATAGAGAGACCCTGTCTCAAAAATAAATAAATAAATAAATAAATAAAGCAGATTTGTGACTTTTTTTTACCCTATACATTGTATTTTGTTTTTGTTTTTTAGAATTTTATCATACAGTCATTTTTTTATTTTTTATTTTTTATTTTTTTGCAGAACCAGGGATTTGAACTCAGTCCCTTACGCTTGCCAGAGAAGCGCTTATTCCACTGAGCCATCTCCCCGGACCTCTGTATTTTGTTGTTGTAAGAATTTTTTGTTTGTTTTTTTGAGACAAGGTCTCACTTCGTAGTTAAAGCTGGCCTCGAACCCCATCTGCAGAGCAGGCTGACCTCAAACTTACCGTGGTGTTCCTGCCTCTGTTTCCAGAGTGTTGTGGTTATAAGTGTGGCCAACCACACCGGGCTTGCATTTTATTTTGAAATCTGACTGGATGTCCTTAGTTCTCAGAGCGGGTGACTGCTTTCCCCAGGGAGTTATTTGGGAGCTGGGGGATGTTGTTTTCCTTGGCCAGTGACAGATGTCCAGGGTGGCCTGTGCCGTAAGGAGGACATTGATGAAAGACACTTCCTGAGTGCTGGAGGGGGTTCTGGAACTACCAAGCTTTTTCTGAAGGAAAAGGAAGCCTTGAAGTGTGGAGTGCCTCAGCAGCTCATTTGTTGGGCTTTCCCAGGGGAGTAATAGCATTTAGCATTGTTCTTGGTGAGGCCAGCACAGCCTTACAGTTTGGGGTCCAGGCCAGGGGCTGTCCAGCCTAGAATTTGAATCCCCAGCTAATGTGTTAAATTTAACCCATCGGAAAAGAAGCCCATCACTTGGCACGCAGCCTGGTCTGCCTTGGTCACTGCTGGTAGATAGTGTTGCCACCGGCTCAGGCTGAGAGCGGCTCCTTCCTCGTTTCTGTCCTCATCTGGAGTGCGGGTAGCCGGTATTTTATCTCCTCTCGTGGCCAGGCTGGCTCCCATCAGCTGCAGGCAGACTCCTGTGGTCGCTGTCCCCCTGAGGCTGGCCTTCTCTCCCAGGCCGCTCCTGATGCCCAGCTGAGGGATCTTAACCGGCGGCTCTCCTTGTTCTTAGCCCCGGCGTGGCCTCTGCTCCACAGCCCTGCTGA